ATTATCTGATATGTCACTGGAAGACAAGAAAGGTGACCACGACCTGGGGAAAGATAGTGACTTTGATATGATTTTCCCACCATGGAAAATGGAGTGGTCAGATCAATATGTTATTGAATGTAGTGTATATGCAGTGTAAATACAGATAAACAAACATTTCTGTTATTAATAAGAAAAATCAAAATCAAAACCAGTTTCAATTTAAAATCATTTGGTATATATGTTTGGTATGTATATATGGTGTATAATATTATATGGTATATATTATGAAAGTTTTTTACTATTCATGATTTATTTTTGTAGCTGGATGTCTTGCCCAGAAAATGGGTCTTCCTATTACTTTGGTGGCTGGAGTCAATACCAATGACATTGTTGCCAGAACACTGAGTAGTGGAGACTTTTCCATCAGAGAGAATGTCTTCCAGACTCTGGCACCAGCAATGGACATACAGGTTAGTAATTTTGTTTTTGTGTGTGAATCTTAGTTTTCAGCTTTGAATACCTTTTCATCCTCCTCAAAAAAAAAATTCTCCTCTTTTTTTCCCATCCACTATAGGTGTAGTTTGTATGATGAGGAGTTTGGTGAATGCAAAAACATGGTTCAAAAGCTTGGCATCCCAGTCATTGACCTTGAATGCACCAAAATTCAGTTGAATGGATTGTTATGCTGGTAAAGAGGCATAGATGTCTTACCAAAACAAGGGAGAACAAAGATGTTATGTGAAATGAGAAAGATACCTGTATCAGATTCTACAGAATGAGTTTTCCAGTTTTCCATCAGTCATACTCTTCTTTCTGTAACCTAAAAGTCTGATGCAAAATCCTGATAAAACAACTGTTAACCATTTTTGCTACTGTGCTGAGGTAAACTCTCTTCAATAATTTAGTAATTGAGATTACTTCATGGACAAACTTGCTTCTTTTTGAAATCACAGTCTTTGAGGAATCAAACACTCAGGTATGTATGTGTGGCATATAGTAAATTCTCAGAGATAGCCTCTAATTTATAGTTGCTAATGCATGACATACATTACAGGAAGTATTACATTGTTACAGTCCTACTTCCATGCCTGTGGTGTTCTACAATACTATGTCTCCGGGTTATTAGCAGCTGTTTGTAAGTTGATATAATGTTGCTAGGACAGTACATTATTGAGAAGTCATTTATATCAGTATAGATTTAGGAAGGAGTATTGAAATTGCAACAAAAATAAATTATGTTATATATATTAAGTTTTGTATTAGATTTTTAAGATTATGATATCAGAAATTAGGGAATTGTCAGACCTTTTTTTCTTTAGGAATTATCAGAAATATTTTTGTTATGAGGACAACTTTATTACTTTTTGAGGATCATCATTATTTTATCTATTTAATCCAGACATTGTAAATCTTCAGGAATATGAATATCAGATTTTACAATCAGTGGTTCAGCATCATCCTAGCAAACTCATAGTGCCATTCTCCCAAAGTATTATTTGTTTGCGGCCGAACATCCTTCACTTGCTAATGTCCCAAGTCTGGTATGGAAACTTTCCTGGAATTTCTGCTTCACTGTGAAACAGCTTACCAAAATAAGTTTCTTGAAAGTTTATTGTGAAGCCTTGAAAGAAATTCCAGATCAGAGTCAGCAACAAAGATTGCTATCCCTTTATCTTTTTATCTAAGGATGGCCCCTCTGTTTAATGTTGTCCAAAATGGCCAAAGACCAGAGACTGCCACACTCTCCTGTCTGTCCTCTTACTGACGTTTACAGTCAGTATTAGCATAGCATAGAATGAGTTGACAATATGCTGGGTGGGCACTGCTGTTGAGACAGCACATTTCTTAATGGCTGCCAGTATCTCCTCCATGTCAGCCCTCCCAGAGACAATAGGTTGTCTGTAGAGAGGAATCTGGTACTTAATTTCCCATTGTCTATGGGGTGAACTCTCATGACACAAATAACTTTTTCATAAAGGCCCTCTCCTTGGGAAAGAGATCCTGGCTTAATACAGGCCTTAGAAAGGCTTACTGGAGAAAGTGAAGGAGGATAACTATTACTCAATCCTTTGTACAATGAAACATCACGTTTGGGATATCATGTTAATGAAGTACGGTGTAGCCCTCATTGTAGAATGATAGTAAGAAAGTAGACACATGGTGGTGTGGAAGTGGTAGCAGAAATTAGAGCAATTAGGGCAGATCAGGTCAGTGTGTTGTGATACATGAATCTTCCAATCTTTAGCATGTCAGTTACCTGCACTGGGGTAGGCTGCCACCATCTTAAAAACAGCTTGGAATCCATGTACATGTGAGACAGTAGAAGGCATGTAAGTGTTTTGTTGTGTAAGTGTATTTATGATTATCAAATCATTGTGTAAAAGGAAAGATAAAACCATACAGAATTGACTGAACAGCCATGGTAAAATTCAAGTAGTTCTTCATTTACTATGTTTATCTGATCTTGGTTAGAGAATGTTTTCAAAGCAAAGTTCTATAGATATGTACTGTCAAATATTTCATATCCATTAGCCCTTAATTTTAGTGAAGAAGAATTATGATATGATAGTTATGATGATAATTTTCATGATGATAATTTTCATATTTAGCTTCATGTTCAATTACTGGTTCTGCCGCAGTAATGGTTGTTATCTTCGAGGGGAACCATGGCCAGTAGAAGTAACTCTTGAGACCAAGATATGTAAACTTGATGTGAAAAAGGTGTTCAATACTAAACTCACTTCTCTGGTAGACAGCTTTCCTTAGTTAATTTTCTTCTTTATTCTGTGTGACCAGTTTGGTATCTGGTATCTATATCACTAGATATAGTAATGAGATAATGTAGCAAAGGATGGTGACCACATTCTTGTTGGCACTCATTAGAGGATCATCCAGAATTGATAATAGACTGGTGGCTACCCTCTCACTTGTGAGGAGGAGTGCGTCCATAGGTTTGCCAAGACAATCTCTGACCTGATACCACCATATGTGTAACACTTAGTGCAACTCAGGAGTCCATTGGTGACCACCCATGTACAAGGCAGAACTTGAACAAGCAGAATCTTTTAAGGGACACTAGAGGCCACAGATGTGTTTACTTGATTAGATTGTTACTGAGCTTAGCATCAATCCCTGACACATAAGACTAGGACACAGTTGAGTAGTAACAAAGAATAGCATATCAGGAGGAGGTTGAATTTCATTTCATGGTAAATGACTTTTGTCCTGCCTACCAAACCCAGAGAAACCTGAATGCAAAGCTCTCTCACAGATGAATTGCAGTCCACCTCAGTAGATTCTCATATTATCTTAGATCACAATTAGTGGCTTATACATGGGCTCAGTATTTTGAGCAGCTGTGACAAGTTGACTCACCAAAAGTTAGCTTGGATGCAAGTGGTGTTGTGATCCCATTGCAAACCTGCCCATCAATGAGAAACCTCCTACCCTGACAGAAGTTAGGGAAGTGATCTCCAAACAGTAAAGCATTGGGTATATGCATCTTCTCTGCTGAAATGCTAAAGATTTCGGTGAACCCAAAAAGAGAACACAGTGACACAGTCAATCAGAGCAGGTGAAAGAGTATGAAGAATTAACACAGAAAAAATGAAGACTCAAACCTTTTCAGAGAAAATCTGTGTTGAGTGACACATTCCTCACCCAGCAGTGAAAAAAAAAATCTAAATGTAGGCTACTGTGGATGTGTAAGGGGAGAGGAAGGGATTGGAGAGAGTTAACAATTAGATTGCCTAGTTTTCCATTGTCTTCATCTGCATAAATTTTCACTTGAAGAATTTCTTCAGGCCCATCACATGGAAGTGATAGTATTTCCATCAAGCCCTGAGGTCAGAGTTTTCATTTTACTGAGAACAGGGATAGGCCTTCGCTGTTAACAGAAGTTGATGTTATATTTTTTTAATAATCCAGGTGAGAGCATGCAAGGGAAAGAACAAAAGAAAGAATGAAAGTGAGTTTTAGAGATTTAGAGATTTAGTTTTATCCCATTTGTGACATGCTGTCTGTTTTATTTTGCTTCTAAATTTCTCTCTGTGTGCAAGGAATAGCCAGGTTACCATCCATTGGTGGTAAGGGGTTTGAATGCAGGTCAGCATGATTGCTAAACAAAAATACTACAGTTGCACCACACCGTAAAGAGAGAGAGAGAGAGAGAGAGAGAGAGAGAGAGAGAGAGAGAGAGAGAGAGAGAGATGAGGGGGGGGGTAAAAGGACTAAAACTAATAACGTTGCCAAGAAAGTTGAAAAAAAGACATTTATGCTTTTCAGGTCCCCTACAATGTAGAGAGGTTGATTTACTTGCACACAAATGGAGATACAAAAAGAGTTAAGGAAGTAATGGATTCTTATGAAGAGGTTGGGAAGGCTGCTGTACCTGAAGACATCTTGAGGAGCTTGAAGAACATTGTGGTTGGTAAGTGTGGAGGACATTTTATGAAATATATTTGATTTATTTGATTGTTATTTATTATATCTAAGTATATTTTTGGGAAGAAGAGTCTTTGGAAGAGTTATTATAATGTTTCACCAAAGCATGTTAACTTTCACCTCTTCTGACACTTTTTTTGGGTGGCACTTTTTATTGAACAATATTCTTTGCTAGAGCTAGATGGCCAATCTGTTTTCTATAGTCATCACTTTCCTGCAAAATATTCTTTAACCACATAGATGGCTCTACAAGTGCTTAGTCACCAAGGAGTTAGTTATTAATCCTTCCAATCTCACCTGTTTACCCTTTTCCTTGACTTTTGGAAAGGGTCTTTTGTATTATTTCATTATCTTAAATGTTACCAAGATTTTAATAATAATTTAATAATAATAATATCAATAACAATAATAACAGTATTGATATCAATTTTATTAATAAGAAAAACACATTTTCCTGCCAATTAAAGGAATGGGGAAATCAGAATCGGTCACTTGGGCTTATTGATAGTCTCCTTGCTGGCTGAGCACATGTGGAGCCATCTGTATGTAACAATATTCATAAAAAATCTACAGGGGACAGAACATAAGTCTGTAATCCCAGTGCCTCTAACTCATCCAAAACATTGAAAAGCCTATATTTATAGACCATATATACAGCAACAAAGCCTTGACTTTTTCCAATAATAGAAATAAAATCATGCATGAAATAATGATGCCTTGGTATTATTCTCTGGCTAAATAGGCCACAAAAGTATCCAGCCACTGTGGTACTAAATCCATATATAGAGGCTATTATCTGAGATAAGATTGATATAAAAGAAGCACAATTATTAACCCTGTGATGCCAACATATAAATTTCTTTTATTTTTATTTTTTTTATACACATTGTTTGTTTATGAGATGAATATTGCATTTACAATGAAATAAAATCCATTTTATGAATATTCAGTGATGTATGTAGTGGTTAGTCCTACCAACCACTTGCTGTCCAGGTACCGCACAGAATGAAAAGTTAAAGTACACATTCTCTGCTGGAATTCCTTCATTATATGTATATGTATATATGTGTGTGTGTGTGTGTGTGCGTGTGTGTGTGTGTGTGTGTGTGTGTGTGTGTGTGTGTGTGTGTGTGTGTGTGTGTGTGTGTGTGTGTGTGTGTGTGTGTGTGTGTGTGTGTGTGTGTGTGTATGTGTGTGTATGTGTGTGTGTGTGTGTGTGTGTGTGTGTGTGTGTGTGTGTGTATAAATAACTACTTATGTATATACATACTTATGTATATATATATATATATATATATATATATATATATATATATATATATATATATATGTATGTATGTATGTATGTATGTATATATTTTAGTGGATTGTGTAGTGTGGTTGGCTCAGTACTGGCCCTTCGCTTTCATACCCGGTGTGACCGAGGTTCGAGGCCTGGTCAGGGAGGGTTTTTATTCATTTATTGAAAATTTTCTGCCACATCAACATCTAAGGTCATAAGCAATGTATTCAAAATATAGTGATAGTGTGAAACCTGGGGCAAAACCCCCAGGTAAGGAAGTGCTATATGAGATCAAAGGTCATATGGTGTTATGGTAAAGTAGAGTAACAAAAAGGGTTAGGAATAAGTTGATGATTAGGATAACTTACAGGTTGAACAATACTGGATGGCAGTATGGTAGTGGAAAGGGTAGAGAGTGGGAACTGATGGAGTATAGCTTGTTAGAGGGGGAGTAGGGAGCACTATGATAAAGTATTGTGGCGATAATAAAAAGTTTAATGATTTGGATAATTGGACAGAACAAGGGGATGCAGAAAAGGAAAAGGAAAGGAGGAGAAGAAAAGACCATGAAAATTAATTGAGGTGAGGGCTGAGGTCCAGGGTAGGAGGAATCCAGGGATACACACTTGTTAGGAACACAACATCTCTAGAAGTGATCAGTGAAAATGAACAAAAATAAAATGTTAAAAGTTTAACCCAATGCCTGTGGGTTTATGTACTGTCCTCTGTAGATTTTGGTGAAATTTGTTACCTACAGACGGCTCCAAATGTGCTCATCCACCAAGGAGTCTAGGCCTTAGCGATTGCACCTGATGAATTTGTGGGAAAATATGTTTTTCTTTCTAATACTACTAATATTACCATTGTTATCATTTATATTGATATTATAATTATTAAATTATTATTAAAGACAATAAAATAATAGAAAAAAGCTTTCAAAAAATCAAGGAAAAGGGTAAACAAGTGAGATATGTAAGACTAATAACTGACTTCTTGGTGAATAAGCACTTTTTGATCCATCTATGTGTAAAGACAATAGATGTACTTTTAATACAGTGGGCATAGCATTGTAGGTTTGCCACCTATGCTAATTAGGTTAACTGATTTTCAAAACATGTTGGAAATATTAGTTGTTGGTATAAGACAATTTGAATGTACACATTTTCTGTGAATTCATTAAAAGGAAAATGTAATTGAAAAAAAAACACTGCATCAAAGTCAGTGGTTAGTTTAACTGACAACTTGACATCAAAGGGTTAAATTTTTAAATATTGTACTAGATATTGATATTGCATATGGGAAAAGAGGAAGTAAAAGCTCATGCAATCTCTATTACTGTGTTTGTGTTTTTAGGTGTTTATTTTGTATACATAATTATTTCATACCCTTATTTTTTATTGTCTTGCAGATACACTTGTAGTAGATGACTCCCAGATAACAGAAGTAATGAAGAAGGTTTACAAAGAACATAACTACATCCTGTGTCCACACACAGCAACTGCAGCAGCCTACCATTACATTAGGTTACCACTCATTAAAACTTTTCATTTGGTATATTGCTTTATAATGACTCACATTTATTGGTATTATTGTTTTCAGATTATTTTATCATAACCTATACTTTATCTCTTCTAATTATATTTAAGAAAATTGTATTATTCAGAACTGATACTCTATGTCTGAGAGTGACACCACCATATCCCAATCTTATTTGAGCAGCAAGGAAGAGAACCCACGTGGCTATATTGCAACAGCTTCACCAGCCAAGTTCCCAGAGGCAGTAGAGAAGGCAG